GCATGAATTTTGGGGGCTGATAACCCCTTGGCATCTTCAAAGCATCAATCTTCTTGGAGTAGGGCTTTGAGTACAGTACAGAGTCATGTGAACTTCCTTCGTACTGTGTCTTGATAGTGCTTGCAATCATCTCCTGTAGTTGCTGGATAGAGAGAGATCCCATGAACGCCGTTGCTTGGTCTAGCTTCAGCTTCTCTTCGACTTTCTCTGCTGGAGGCTCCTCTTCTTCGTCGACTTCTTTCTTTACTAGGCTATCATTTGGGCCGACTTTCACGTCAGGCCGCGCATCTAGTTGGTTGACGAGTGCGGCAATCTGCAAGTCCTTCTCTTCCACAGTTCGTGTGAGCTTTGCGATTGCTTCATTCATCTGAGCTAGCTGCTCCTCGATTAAAGTTGCTCCTGTGGTCATGACTTGCATGGTTGTACTGCCGCTCGAATCAGCGTCGGAGAGTAGGGACTCTGAGTATTTCCTCGGGCTTTCCCCTCTTGATGCCCTTAGCGAGGCTAGGGTGAACACAGGCTCGTGCCTCAGGTGCTCTTGTTCCTTTGACAGAGTTAATGCAGGGGCGAAAGCCACGGCAAAAAGAGCTCTTGCCTTACTTCGGGTTATGATGCCCGAAATATCACCACTTGCGGCGATGATGTTCTTGTTCTTTGCTTTGATTGCAGGAATAGCTTGATCCTTTCTTGATGCCATTTGCGTTTTTCGATGATTTGAGGATAGAGATGAGAGGTAGAGATGTCCCACCGGGCGTGCCAAATTTGTAAACACGAAAAATTCCTAAAACAAGAAACAAGAATACGTGTACAAAATAATATTTTTGTGTTTAATGATTTTGGGGTTACAACCTCTTTGTAATTTGATCCTCTGATTCTATCTTCGTAGGGTGTAGGTTTGTGGATGAGTTGTTGATCCAAAGGGCCGTCGGGGCTTGATCTAAGGATGAACAGTTGATGAACGGATCTTCAAGGGGCGTTGGGCTTGATCTTGAAGAATGGGTGTATGGGTTTGTTGAGGTTGTTGATCCAAAGGGCCGTTGGGGCTTGATCTTAGGATGAACGGATGATGAATGATGAACACTTTCTTCAAGGGGCCGTCGGGGCTTGATCTTGAGTTGGTGGGAGTTCTTCAAGGGCCGTTGGGGCTTGATCTTGAAGGAGGATTTGACGAAGAACGAAGAGTGCTTTCTTGATCCTTCGGGATTTTCTTGAGAGCTTTAGAACTTTAAGGCTTCAAGGTTTTGGTGTGTGTAGGGAGTATTCTCTTCCATTTTGGGAGTAGAGAAATGTATTTGTGAATTGGTGTCTCTTCCTCTTGATGGAGAAGTCTATTTATAGGCTTTGAGAGTGAATCACCACCATTCATTTTTTTGGTGAAGTGAGTGGATGATGTAGGTGAAGTGAGTGGAGGTTGTAGGTGAGGTAAATGGATGATGTAGGTGAAATGAGTGGAGGTTGTTGGTGAAGTGAGGGAATGATATAGGTGAAATAAGTGTTGTATTGGTTAACATTTATTTCACTGAAATTTCGATGTCTACAACCACATATGTGTATGTAGAAGTTCGCTTTCATACTCGCTGATTATATGAACTGCATATGAAGGATGACAAAAATGAGCGTTGTATGACTCCTTGCAAAGAGTACTCGTTAAAACATCAACAACAAAAAAAAGATGTGCATTTATCAGCATAATTTGTTTGTAAACATGAATAGCTTTTTACAAATAAGAATTCATATAGTGTGAGGTCATGATTATCAAGTGATGAGTAGTGTAGACACAACTGGCATCCCAACACTTTTCCATACAAAACAAAAATAGTATATTGCTACAAAAGGTGGCCCCAAAATAGTAGTTCCCAGAACATGTTGCATGTTCCCTGTACAAGGTTTGGTGGCTATGGGTCATGAAGCTGAATTTAGGCTTGAGAGCAATCAAGTCCAAAACTCTGTTAATTTGATTTGATCTGATCTGATAGGGTGTCTAGTGTCTTCAGCCAAGTATGTTGAAGTAAGAAATGAAAGTCAACTACCCAATTATGTCAAGTTGAATGAGCTAGATCGATTCGTCACTATATCATCTTCTTTCTAATTTGGACAAATTTCCAAAAGTTGACCTTCATTTCTAACTTCAACGTACTTTTAATCTATTGTTATGTGACAAAGTTGAGTGGTAAATAGCGTCCATTTAAAAATTTGTCTTGTGCATAGAATTCTAGTTATAAATAAAAGATTGTCATACATGATACATTTTAACTGAACAGCGCTTGTCGTACTCAACTTACCACTTAGCAGGAAAGTCCCTAACAAATTTCTTTTCCTTCCATTAGAGAACTAAACATGTGCAAAGCATAATTAGTTAGGAAAGGTTAAAGGTGGATACAATGAGTACTTGATTTCATGGATCAATAACTTTGGCCTTAATTTTAGGCAGCATTTCGACAAGAAGAACCTGAAAGAATTACAGATTAGGGTTTGCCGGAGGGTGTTTACTAATTAGGCCTTAATGTTGTACCTTTATCTAATCTGCTTTTTTATTTAAGTCCATCTCCAACTAAAGGTGGGTCAGAGAGCTTGTTTTAGCCCTATAGCCCTCCAATAAATTAATATTTTAATGAACAGTGTCAAGCTATATTTCTTACCATCTCCAACCGATGGGTCAACTGGCCATAGACCAAACATAGCCCTGTGACAAAAAATCATCTCCAACCGAAGGGCCAAAGGGCCATAGGCCAAACATAATTTATTATTTTAATTGAACTAATATGGTTACTTAAATTAAACTACCTCAATAATTTTTCGAGATGTAATCTCAATAATTTTTCGGATAGGATATCGAGTGACACGTGTCGATAACTTTGCAGATTTCTTGTTGAAAAGGAATCTCAATAATTTTACATCTCATATTTCGAGTGCCACTCCGAATGATGGACTATGCCTCCCCAACTGATGCAATGGATGATACTCTTGCTGAATTCCGTGACACAATTGTTCAACTTTACAAAGAGGAGTACCTATGTGAACCAAATCAAGAAGATTTGGATCGGCTCCTTCGCAAAGCTGAAAACCATGGCTTTCCGGGCATGATAGGGTCATTAGATTTCATGCATTTTCAATGGAAGAACTGTCCCACTAGATGGCAAGGAGGCTTTAGCAGAAGGTTAAGAAAGCCAACTATTGTGTTAGAGGTGGTTGCATCGTTTGACACATGGATCTGGCATGCTTTCTTTGAAGTCCCTGGATCCCAAAATAACATTACAGTTCTTGGGCGTTCACCCCTCTTCAATAACCTGAAGGAAGGTAAATCTCCTCAACTTGACTACTACATCAACGGCCGTTAGTACAATATGGGGTAGTACTTGGTAGATGGCATCTACCCAAAGTGGGCAACACTTGTCCAAGCAATTCCAAACCTTGTGGATGACGCACAAAGGTGATTTACCTTACATGTTGTTTAAGTTTTATGTTGTTAAATGCTTTTTTTAATGTTGTTTAAGTTTGTTTAATATTGTTTAATGTTGTTTAAGTTTACTTAATTTTATTTAATGTTGTTTAATGACTTATGTAGTTATAGGGAAAAAATTAGATTTTTAAAATTTTTTTTTAATTTGTAAAAATATATATATAATAATTCAAATATAACGGCTAGCTGACGTCAGCTAATAGCCGTTGGAATTCAAAATCCTAGACCGGCCCAGGCTAGTTGGCTGGCTAGTTGGTTTAGGCCTGCCAGTTGGCCCGTTTCTTCTTTTTTGACCCGGTAAGACCCACAAGTCCTTTGGCCTAGCCCTCGGTTGGAGTCGATTTTCATGTCATTTCGGGCTATTCTCGACCCTCTGCCTAGATCGGTTGGAGATGGCTTAACATATCCAGGTTAGTCTAAATTTTTTCCAAACTCTTAATGCCTCGATAATGTCCTTACCAACCTTGAGCCAGTTGACAAAGAACACCGTCTGTATTTTGGGAGAACAACTTGTATTCCACATATATACTATTACTATGGCGCCCTGTGTCGATGATACAAGGACATGTGAAAAGAAACTTTGATACAAAGACAGGTAAAGAAAAACTTAACATGCCTAGTATTATTAGCATGGTGCACCACTATAATTGTGTACTTCTACCTTACGAGTTCTCATATTTTGATGTTGTACATTTTCGTCGTCCTTATTTGTACCAAAAATTGGGGAAAGGAATAGAAAGGAACATGGTCATTATACGAAGAATAATGCCTTTGTTCCCTCTAGTTATTCATCCATTGGAACATGGAGCTGTACTTCTGTAGAGTCTTTTTCACAGCTAGTTCATGTTACCTGGTGTTCATGACAAGAAGCAAGGTAGGCTTCCTTCTCTCTCTTTTTAGTGAAAAAAAAAATAAGAATATTGTTTTTTCTTTTTAATTTGGAGGGCATTTGGCTAAAAGTGGTGTCAAAGTCATAACCCTCTTTGTTTCGGATTCAAATGAGGCCTAAAACCCAAAAAGAGGAAGGTGAAAATTATATTTTTGATGTAAAATTATAAGTGTTCTACCATAGAAGTTGTGAGTCATCACTCACTATTTAATCTTAAATTTCTAAGGAACAGAATCAACGCCCTCACCAGAAAAATTAATAAAAAAATTGTAGTTAATTTTACAGTCCGCTCTGGAAATTATAGTATAATTTCCAAAGGTGTGAAATGACCAAAACGCCCCTAGAAGAGGAATGTGTTGACTTCAGTTGACCTTTTCAATCGTGACACCTATGACCTATCAAATTAGCATGTTCTTATAGTACTCAATGACATGAATGCAAGAGCACAAGTGGGACAGAATTCAGAGTTAAAACAAAGATTCTACGAAACTCCAAAGTTCAAGGGCATTTTAGTAATTTTAATCTTATAGATATTTTCTTAGACCTTATTCTAAACTGGTTGGTTTTTTCATCCCGTGGGACCCATTAAGCCTCTATCTTCTCTAAACTCTTTCCTCAAGTCACTTTATCTCCTTTCACTTGTTACTTTCTCTCATCTCTACGCATTCGCCATATCCCTCTCTAGTTCCCTAAACATTGAGACCACCACCACCACTTAACTCGCCACTCCGGTGAGCCTCACCTCCACCAAACCACTGCAACTCATTCCCTATCTTATACCTGAACCTAGAAGTATGAACAAAACCATCGACCTTGAACCCAGACCTGAGGAACCACGACCTTCATTCCCAATCAGAGAAAAAATTTGGCTAGATTTTCGAATTCTCCGTCAAGGTAAGGCCCGAGACTACCCCCTTTCAATTCCTTTTGTTGTTCTGGTTCCATTTATGACCTTGCATGGGAAGAGTGGCTTCACATTTGTGAAGTTCAAACAGACAAACTAACAATCTCCATGTCTGGCGAGTTGAAGGATTTTTCTTGAGCTTTTTTGGCCAAACCTCGTTAAGTTGGATGAGGTTAACACCACGAGTAGGCTCCTCACCATTCCTAGACCCATACTCAAGCTTTGCATGCTCGAATCTGCCACTGTCTCAACGAAACCATTTTTGGACCAAGGCTTTTAAACCAATTTCAAGCCACCTTCAACCACCATTTGGCCTCGAATTAGGTATACTGGTGATATAGTCTTTCCTAACTTCAATTTGGTATATTTTGTATAAAATTTGGATATGAAATGACTCTAATATAACATTTTTAAGTCCAGGCAAAAATCCCAGTTTCCGACAAAACTCTAGCCGACAACCGACTGCATCGACAACCTGTCTCTATGAAGAAGACAACGAAATAATTCGTTGAGTCTAACGAAATATTCCTGACGTCGTCAACATCTCCGTCAGAAATCAGGCATATTCTATTAACTTTATTTCCATTGTTACTGTTAACTAAGACGAAATATTTTTCTTGGCAATGGAATATTTCATTTTCAACGACCAACTCAGCCAATGGAATGTCCCAGCTTGTGGGGTAGTACTGTGGCGTGTGGCGGCACGTGCGGTGACACACGAGTTTAGGACACCGAATTTGGTGGTTCGAGTTCATAATGTTCGATTAAGTTACCACGTTTGAGTTAATTACTTTAGGAAAATTTTCTACGAATTACAAAGAGCAAGTGATGCGAGAATTATACGCACACAAATTAAACCCTATTTTTATCAATTGTAGTAAGTATGTAAGTAGGGATCGTTCTGGACCGGGGATTAGGAGGGATTGTTAATCACTTGGATTTGACTCAAAAACGTAAAAACAAGTTTAAAACACTATACTAGACTCAAAGAATGCAAAACTCAAAATAAGATAGATTGTACTGACTAAGACTAAACAAAATATGGGGGGATTGAGGTTTTGACGAAATTAAACTAAAATGGACAGATTGTAAAGAAAACAAATTGTAAATACGAATTTGATGGAATTGAATGGATGGGAAGCTAGCTAAGGGGTTCATCTCCACACATGTTATACTTGCACACAAAACGATTTCTAATTGCTTTTCAATAAACCATGAATTCTCAATGCCCCAGATTAACCGTGAATTGCACTAATTAACCCTCAGATTTTCCTAACGTTATTGAATTGGATGATTGCATACGACAACCCAAAACATTCCCCACAAGTCCCCTACATGATTGCATAATAGAGATACAAGCAAGAATCATTAAGTTCTATGAAAACCATAAGCATTGACGAAGCACTTGTTACTATGATTGCATGAAACTTATGCCAAGAATTTACTTAACGCGATTGAGATCATCAACCTTTACTACTTGTGAATATAATTCCATAACGATTAGGTTAAATTTCCTTATATCCTAGCATCCAATTTATGCATGATAATTAAGCGTGCACTCTCAACCAACACACACAAATCAAAGTAATTCACATAGATAAGTAAATTGAATTCACAACTTATGAAACGTAATTAGAAGTAATCAAATCATATTGCAAGCATAAACATGTATTTCGAATCCCCCCCTAGCCAAGGGGGGGTTTAGTTCCTCATACGTACAAAACAAAGATAAGTAAATTTAATCATTGAAATCAAGGAAAAGAAAACACCTAAAAATTCCAACAACTCAAACTTGAATTGTATGAACGTTTAGGCCCTTCTCCTCCTCTTTGTTGTGGCACAAGGTCTAAGGATAGGTTTTGGGGTGGTGTTTGTATGTGGAATGGAGTGGGGAATGGTTGGGTGGTGTTTTGGAGGGATAGGAGGTGGTGGAAATGGAAGGATAGATGTTGGAAATGAAGGGAATGCACGGCTAGGGGTTGTGTGGGGAAGATGGTCTAATTTCTGTGGTGAATGGAGGTGTGGAATGGTGTGGATGTGTGATGGGATTGCATGGTTTTATAGGGAGAGAATGGGAGAGAATGTGAGAGAATGTGGCTGCATGATTAAGGAGGGAATGCATGTGGAATGACAGCTAGGTTGGTTGGTGGAAACCTGGAATGGAAGTGGGAAAGCCACGGCAATGAAGGGAGAATTGCTGCAATGATTTTGGAAGAATGATATTGAAATGGGAAAGCATGTGGAATTGTGGCTACAATGATGAAGTGGGAAGCAGGAAATGCAAAGGGGAAAGCTGGAAATGGGATGGGAGTGCACGGCAAAGGCTTCTTTGGTGCTGGAAATGAATGTGAAAGCATGTGAATTAAAGCTAGGGTGAATGATGATGAATGCATGTGGATTAAAGAGGGAATAGATGGTTTTGCTGGTTCTAAGGCTTTGTTTGATTGGGCTAGGCCCTTTGTTTTATGTCCTAAAGTGCATACAAGGCTTCAATTTCGTCCAACACTTTGGCTCCAAGCATAAGCTATCCATTCTAAGCCCAATTTGCTCCAAAATGCTCCAAAATGTACCTTTTTGCTTCCTTAGCCATATGAACCTAGAAACACACGAAAATGGCATAAAGGACTAAAATAACTAAAGAAACACAACGTAAATGCACGAGAACAAGCCAATTAAGTCGCATAAATATGCTCCTATCAAATTCCCCCACACTTAGCTTTTGCTAGTCCTCGAGCAAAACAGAAAAACAAAACAAAACCTAAACCTTCCAACAATGGTCTCAGGGATTTTCAATGCGCATGACATGTTAAAAATTCATTATCTCCACAGATTTTAGTCATCTTCACACTTAAGTACATTCTTAATCATAGTCACCACATACTAGTTCACAATTAAGCATTTAAAACCATGTTTTGAATGTAGTAACATGCCTTAGAGAATTTGCTCAATTCTTTATAAGATATGCGCTCAATTTTCACTCAGATTTTCTAACTACACACCCTAATCTAGTCATATGTGAGAAGATTGATGTAAACATGAAAACGAACACTCACATATATGTATCACAAAGAAAGCAATTTCTGGAGTTAATAAGCATGTGTAGTTATGATCTCATGAATGGAATGCTACGACTTAGATGCGAGAACCAGTGACACCATAAGCTCATACCAACTTCAAACTCCACAAATTGAAATGCACAACACTCAAGATAGAAGTCAAGGGTTGTAATGGGGCTTAGGGTATTGGTTAACAATGGAAAGATAGAGGGAAACAAAGGTTCTTAAAGCAATAGCAAGCAAAGTAATGAAATCGAAACTTAGAACTCACTTTAAAACACAGAAATCAACTTTTAACACAAAGGGAAGAACTAAGCAACACTCAGGGCCATATTCAACATTTTTGGACCCTTTCCTCAACTACCACAAACATGTGAACTTATTTTCATTTATTTCAAACTCTTTTTTTTTCCTTTTTTTTTTTTTCACAACTTTTTCTTTTCTTTTTCTTTTTCCTTTTCTCTTTTCCACCCGTGCCTATGGCACATTAACTCACATGAAACCTACTTCCCCCACACTTGGGTTCTGCCAAACATTAATCAAAGGGAGTTCAATTCAAATCATGCTTTGCTATGCTTCAAGAATAAGGGTATGGATGGTCCTAATCTAGGCTAGGTGAGGATAGTGTGGGTTAACAAAGAATGTAAGCTTAACAAGGCTCAATGGGATTAAATTAAACATATAATGAAGTAGGATACACGACAATTTGGCTTTGGTGGTGGTCACTACACAACTTCTTCTTGAATATGTGTTATGCAAATCAATAACATGCTTTGAATGAAATGGGCATGAGTTCTAGCATTTGGAACTATATGATGAAACGCCTTCTAAGTAGTAACCAAGCAAAGAATAATGAGATCATGCAACGACTTTAGAAAACAATAATGCACAGATTTTAACTCTCCAAATAACGTTTAGGCTCAAGTCTCACAAGGTTGTAGCGTTTGTTTGAGTTCCTTCCTTCAAGCATGTTACAAAAACTAATTTTTCTTTTATGATTGCATGTGAAGTCATACATTATAACCATAACCAAGCATATACCAAGAGTAAATCAAACTTTTCTTCATGTTTATAACTCTTTTTAACAGTCATGCAATTAAAAACCAAATCCTCATCATTGCGTTGGAAGGTACCCTAAGACACAAACACACAAAAACGACTCAAAACACTCTTTTTAGGCTTTTCAAAACATGTTTTTCAAATTTTTATGTGATTTTCGGAGTTATAAAACAAAACACACTAAAACACTCTAAATCAGCTTAAAAACATTTTAAAACAGCAAGGAACAACACTTGAAGTTATGGGTGATAAAATCCAACAAATTTGCATCAACATACTTAGTTACCAATTCCCCCACACTTCAATCAAACATTGTCCTCAATGTTTTAAGCTTGAAACCACACTAAACACAAGCAAACACATAAACAGCAACTAAACTCATTAAACATGGCAGAATTTATCTAACAAAGAGAAGAGTTTAGGGACGCAAATCTGGTTATGGAGTGTAAATTCCATCTTCTCCTTGGTGATTGCATTGAGGCTTGATCTTGAGTTTTTCCACAGGCTAATCTTGAACTGAGCTGGAGGATTCTGACACATGGCAGGCAAGCACGAGGTGGAGGTGATGACCTGTTTCTTTGTTCAATCTTTCCAATTCGTATTGAAGAGGGTTAGAGGATAACTCAGCATATGCAGTTGTTGCGTTTGCTGACTATCCACAAGATTGATGTTTCCTCGTCACTCATCTTAGTTGTTCTCCAAGCAAATGTGGTCCCTTCTCTGGAAGTGTATCAACCTTTGAAGATGACTACTCGAGAGCAACACTAGGTAAGCAACCAGGGAATAGATTCCAGGTAGTTGGTTCCAGATCGGAAGACTGACTCCAAGTGCCGGCTGATTTCTCACTTCACTTTGCCATGCGAGTAATAACAAGGACAAAGGAAAAGACAGGCAAAGATCATGATATGAGATACCTTTGCTTTCGCCCTTGATGATATGAGATACTTTTCTTTTGAAGAACCAGCGAATGAATCAGCACATATATTTGTTGCGCTTGTCTCCACATGCTTCGATCCACCGTTTCCTCTTGCCTCATCTGTACTCCAGGCATCTGGTATCTTCTTTGGGGGTACATCAATGGTTGAATAGGTGTTCTCAAGAGAATAAGAAAACTGATCATGTTGAGAGGTTTGGTTGCAGCTACATTCTCGGCCGAGAAGACAAGTCATGCGTTTTTGGATGTATGCCTTGCCATGAATGTTGATGTATATAGGAATTGTAATGGCAAGTAGTAGTGCGGATGCGGCTTTGTCAGAGATCTTTTGACAAAGTTGCACGCGTTTTCTGAAAAGCCGAGATTGCGGCTTTGTCACCCACGCTTGTCGGCAAAAGTGTGTAGCTGGGATGATGACCTCCACGCGTCTTCAACTTTGTTAGAGATCTTTTGACAAAGTTGCACGCTTTATCTGAAAAGCCGAGATTTCGTCTGAAGAGTTGGCGAAATTTACGCAGGAAAATCCAGCTTTGAAGAGTGGTGTCTCTTCAATTTGAATCGGTGGTTGTGTCGTCTCTCCCTTTATAGAGGTGATCGATCACCTCTAACATGCACACTTTGAAGATTGCCCATCCGTGAAAATCGTCTGCGGCCCTTTGAGATTTTACTCCATCCAACCCTTCTCTTTTAACATTTTTGAAAATGGCTAACCCATCTAACCTTTGCTTAGATTTGAGTCTCAGCAGTGATCCGGTTGCGCCGCGTCAAGGTAATGTATGGTGCCCGTCTTTCTTATCTCCTAATGGCCCTCTTACAGGTGA